CTTGGCTTGGTCATGGGGCAATCAAAATACTTACGGCCCGCTAGAATACTTCCGTGGTCAATCCAGATGGGGGTTCCTAAGACTTACATCAAATAGGGTGATTGCCATCTGAGGGAGTGCCTTCGGACCTGGCCTCCGCCTGACCACGCGGACATGGCCACTCCCCCTGGATCCCTTTAAAGGGATACTCCAGCGTTTGGAGGGGCAGGCGGAGACTACAACCTCCCCTCCATCCATACAAAGGATTGCCCCAGTGCCCAACCAGTTGTGATGATTGCTATGAGGTAGTCAAACCACCGGCTGGGTGCCAATTAGCCCGGTGGGCAAATTCCTACCCGGCCCCTTAAAAGACAGCGACCACCGTAGCCACAGCAAAGTCATTGACTATCAGCGTAAATCGAGGGTGGGCAGGCAGGGAAAGGAACAAACAAGTACCGTATTTTTCGCTCTATAACACGCACCTGACCATAACACGCACATCGTTTTTAGAGGAGGAAAACAAGGAAAAAAATTCTGAATGAAACAGTGGATGTATCATTTTTGTGTTTCATGCTGTGGCCACAGACATGTGATCTGATGGTGAATTTGGGGTAGCTCAATGCAAAGATCCTGAGGATCCATGTGGATCCATGCTTTTTAACCACATTTTTGCACCATTGCAGCCCCAGGCAACAGTGGGTGTGTGATTTTTGGGGGGCAGGCTGCTATGTGATCTGATGGTGAATTTGGGGTGGCCCAATGCAAAGATCCTGAGGATCCATGTGGATCCATGCTTTTTAACCACGTTTTTGCACCATTGCAGCCCCAGGCAACAGTGGGTGTGTGATTTTTGGGGGGCAGGCTGCTATGTGATCTGATGGTGAATTTGGGGTGGCCCAATGCAAAGATCCTGAGGATCCATGTGGATCCATGCTTTGTAACTACATTTTAAGTGGGGAGTGAAGGAAAAACACAGAAGGGACAAGAGAGCGGTGTGCAGAGAAGCAGCTGGCTAAGAAAGCAGGAGAGGGATTTTACGGGAGGGAAGAAAGAAAGGCAAAAGTTTCCACAAACCGAAGCCAGCTTTCTCTCTCCTCCTGCATGTTTTCTGGCTGCCTGCGAGGAGCACGGAGAGGAATTAGAAGGAAAGACCTCTGCTTTCCCCTCTGCTTGCCTGGAGGGGAGGGGATTTGCCTGCTCTTTGTTCCGTTTGAGCAAACACAGCAACGAAACAGAGGAGGGTGGGCAGTAAGACCCTGAGGCAGAATGCAGGAAAGCAACCGCTTCCTCTTTTCAGGTTTCCCTCTCCGACACAACGCACGATTGATTTTTGCTGATTTTTGTTCCTGCGCTCCCCTAATCGGCTCCAGGGACCCCCCCCCCACATTCGCTCCATAACACGCACAGACATTTCCCCTTCCTTTTTAGGAGAAAAAATCTGCGTGTAATAGAGAGAAAAATACGGTAATACCCCAGGTGCAGGCTGCTTAAATGGGCAAGGGGTGGATGCGAGGAAAACCTACCTGCTCTGTCAGCTCTGCCCTCCGACACAGCCTGAATCCAGTTCTTGATAGGTGGAGGGGGCTTAAGCCCCCACTGCCTATCAGGAAGGGCATCGCTGTTCCAGTTCCCTTGTTGGGGCCCCGGTGAAGCCTCTGCCGTCCTGCAATGTTGCTGCACTAAGAGGAGCGAGCGGACTTGCAAAATCTCTTGCAATTTTGCCCCCCAAAAAGCGCAATAACTTCGGGCTCAGCAAATTTTCTGTCCGGCTTTTCACCGTTTGAAATATGGCAACAACCCTGCCTGAAGTGTTGCTATTGCACTGCGTGAAACCGCCTGTAAGCTCTGCATAAACCGCGGTTCCCTCGTAGCTGCACTTAACAGCTTCGGCTAAATCCAGGGCCCATGTTTCTCAGCTTGGGTTCCTCACAGTGTCCTGGGGAAAGAGCTGCCCTTTCCTCAATACTCAATAAGAAAATGCAGCGCTGGAGAGGTTACCAAGTGAGCTAGTGATGGAGGAGCGAGACCTTACTCCATAAACAACCGAGAAGCCAGTCAGAGTGGGACAGAAAGACAGAGGAGAAGGGGAAGGAGGCATGACCTGAGGACAGTCCTAGCTGCTGCATCAGGCAACTTGGAGGACCAGATTAGTCCCATAAACCAGAAGCTCCCATCCCCAAATTATGCTATGCAGATGAGCAGATATATATATATAAGGACAACATGCCAACATCAGGTTTGCATTGGTGAAAACTCTGCATGTTTTGTTAGAGCAACGGAACGAAATAACCAGAAATGGTACTTGCCATTTCTGCAGCTCCATCCTAATTTACTGGTGGAAAATAGGGGACTGTTTGACACAGTTCCACAAGAAAGGCTTTTTTTTCTTAATGGGTATCATTATTATTTTCCAAATTCCTTTACAATGAACCTAGTAAATTTTGCTCACTGTAGCTTTTAAAATGAAACTGTTTTGCGTTCTTAGGGCAACACTTTAGGAAATTTCTACCAACCCCTTTCAACTGCCATTTTGTTTCAACCTCATCTGCAGTGCTATAGCTAACTTAATACAGTGGGAATGCCATAAATAAATGTTCGGTGTTTAAGGAGATAACAGAAATCACTGCGTTAAAGCTGACCGAAAGTCCAGAGGTAGCATTGTTATCAATTTACGATGGGGTGGAAGGTTCGCAGCCTCTGAAGGACTTGCTCACAAATTTATTGACAGCTGCACGAATTATTATAGCTAGGAAGTGGAAGGGGTAAGGAGAATATAAAATGGAAGAATGGTAGAGTTGTGGGATATAGCTATTAACGATAAATTAACATGTGCCATCAAGGTAAGAGAGGGAATATGTAGGAGAAATGATTTTGAGGAGACATGAAAGGTGTTTGTAGAATTTGTGCTGTTAAAACGGAAAGGGCTCAAACCATCGCAAGAGGAGTTGAAATTTTGGGAGGTTGAATAGTTACAATGGAATGGTCTCAGTGGTGGGGTGCACTTTTTATTCTTATTTATTTATGATTATTACTTTGTCAAAATGAAAAATATAAAATAAAGAAATGCTCCACCTTGTCAACATTATGTCACCTCTTTTTTGGGGGGGGGGGTCAGTTGCCTTTTATTGACACACCGTGTGTCGGAGAAAGCATCACAGCAACAGAGAAATAAAACAACCCCAGTGATCTTCAGGGGTATAGACTGAAGATTTTGACTTGTGTGTATGGATGTGTCAGTTGAGCTTGTGGCTAAGATTCTCATGACCGTTAAGGACAATATGCGATCATACGAAATACGTCCCAAGTTTTCATCTCAAAAGTACCCTGATCAAAATGCCCCTTGGAAAAATAATTGAAGTCTAATAAGATTCATCCTGGGGTGTTGTAGCATTTCTGTGTCTGCGAATCAGATCACTAATCCCTTTCCGTCCTCCGCATCTTCGCATCATGCGTTCTAGCCATCTTGTTTTAAAATGTTAAATAGTATTTTAATATTTCTTTTTAAAGTAAGAGTTTCACTCCCCCAGGATCTGGCTGCATTAAATCATTGCGGGAGGAGGCATGCTTTCGTAAATCAGGGTGGGGTGGCTCTACACATCCTTGCTGGCTGGGGCGGCGGGGACTTGTAGTTCAAAACACTAATAATAATAATAGCAATAATTTATTTATTTATACCCCGTCCATCTGGCTGGGTTTCCCCAGCCACTCTGGGTGGCTCCCAAAATAATATTAAAAACACAACAAAACATCAAACATTAAAAACTTCCCTAAACAGGGCTGCCTTCAGATGTCTTCTAAAAGTCAGATAGTTGCTTATTTCCTTGACATCTGATGGGAGGGCGTTCCACAGGGCGGGCGCCACTGCCGAGGAGGTTCCCTGTAACCTCACTTCTCGCATTGAGGAAACCGCCAGAAGACCCTTGGACCTGGACCTCAGTGTCCGGGCTGAACAATGAGGGTGGAGATGCTCCTTCAGGTATACTGAGCCAAGGCCGTTTAGGACTTTAAAGGTCAGCACCAACACTTTGAATTGTGCTCAAAAACGTCCTGGGAGCCAATGTAAGTCTTTCAGGACCAGTATTATATGGTCTCAGCGGCCACTTAGACTGCATCACATTGGGAAAGACTGTTCTACAGAGAGGATCTGGGTTGTAAACATTCCTGAATGTGTTCTATGTTAGCATCTTTTTTGCCATGCGAGGAAACAGTATCCTTTTAAGCAGCAACTCTGCAACCTTGCAAGCCAAAGCAGTAAGCAACGTGGAAAACTGCTTCATGGCGACTTTTATAGAAATCGCATAGATAGACCAATTTTCAAACTTGTGTTATTAATGCCCAACAATTCCTAAGAAATGATATTCGCAATGGGGTATAAACTGCAGGATATAATCCTGCCAACCTTCACCCCACATCTTGTTCCAAGTGGTACCTTGGTAGTCGAACGGCTTGGCTCCCTAACAAATCGGCTCCCAAGCGCTGCAAAACCGGAAGTGAATGTTCCGGTTTGCGAACGTTTTTCGAAAGCTGAACATCCGATGCGGCTTCCGCTTGAGTGCAGGAAGCTCCTGCAGCCAATCGGAAGCTGTGCCTCAGTCTTCGAACCGTTTCAGGACTCAAAACAGAGTCCCAGAACCAGAATTTGAGAACCAAGGTACTGCTGTACGTTGAACCGTGGTTTGGCAGTGCTGCCTGGACCAACCTGAGCAAACCCAGCCAAGCATGGGGCTCGCGTCCCCTACTTCCGTGTAGATGGAGAAGGATCTTGGCAGGGTTTTGTTTTACTTTCACATGGGCTTTGTTACAGAACCCATCTTCAGACCACGTGTCGTGCTTTGTCGAGAAGAGTTTGTTTGCATGTCAACGTTGCCATATACGAACCGAGCCAAATCTTGTTGCTAGGTGTGTGTTTGCCTCTTCGTAATCGCACTTCCCTTCCAAGAACTACCCAGATTTCATGCGATAGAAACGTTCCCATGTTGCCGACTGCATCTAACGTCCTCCTTTCTGACCTCTTTGTTCAGGTACTTTGAATGATCAGGACATAATGACAGCTGAAGACTCCGCTGCCAGGATGAATAACGATTCTTCCAACATGCAGTCAAATAAGGTCCCCGAAGGTGTGGCCGGTGCACCTAACGAAGCTGCGCTTCTGCAACTAATAGAACGTACGGGTTACGCCATGGTGCAGGAGAACGGGCAGCGCAAGTATGGCGGACCCCCGCCGGGCTGGGAAGGCCTTCATCCTCCCCGCGGATGTGAAGTCTTTGTGGGCAAAATCCCTCGCGACGTCTACGAGGACGAGTTAGTGCCCGTCTTCGAAACCGCGGGGAGAATCTACGAAATGCGCCTGATGATGGACTTTGACGGGAAAAACCGTGGCTACGCCTTTGTGATGTACACCCAAAAATACGAAGCCAAGCGTGCCGTCAAGGAGCTGAACAACTACGAAATCCGTCCAGGGAGGCTGTTAGGGGTGTGCTGCAGCGTGGACAACTGTAGGCTGTTCATCGGAGGAATCCCCAAAATGAAAAAGAGAGAAGAAATTCTAGAAGAGATCTCCAAGGTGACGGAAGGCGTGCTGGACGTCATTGTGTACGCCAGCGCAGCGGATAAGATGAAAAACAGAGGGTTTGCCTTCGTGGAGTACGAAAGCCACAGGGCAGCCGCCATGGCGAGGAGGAAACTGATGCCTGGCAGAATCCAGCTTTGGGGTCACCAGATTGCAGTTGACTGGGCCGAGCCGGAAATCGATGTTGACGAAGATGTCATGGAGACGGTCAAAATCCTGTATGTGAGGAATTTGATGATTGAAACCACCGAGGATACAATTAAGAAAGTGTTTGGGCAGTTCAACCCCGGATGTGTGGAACGGGTTAAAAAAATACGAGATTATGCCTTTGTACACTTCACGAGTCGGGAAGATGCTGTTCATGCCATGAATAATCTCAATGGGACTGAACTCGAAGGGTCGTGCCTGGAAGTTACCTTAGCCAAGCCAGTAGACAAGGAGCAGTACACCCGCTACCAGAAAGCAGCGAAAGGAGGAGCAACACCTGAAGTCACTCAGCAGCCGAACTACGTTTACTCATGTGATCCGTACACCTTGGCATATTATGGATATCCGTATAATGCTCTGATTGGCCCAAATCGAGAATATTTTGTGAAAGGTTAGTAGACAACTTTTGGCCCCCTTTGGGGTTATCTGGGACAGCTTTCCTTAAGTACACCAGCGGCATGGAAATGCTAGTCGTTATTGATCCAGAGCAGATTCCAGCGTATAGTTAGCAGAGTAAAAGCCTAAACATGTTGCAGGATTACCCAAAAATAGACCAGAGGCAATTGTATTTCATCCAGCAGAGCTTTACTGCTGCTGAAGGCAAATGAGCATAATGATCACAAATCCAATACAGGATTGGCACTGTCCATAAGAAATCCAGTTGCAGTGGACTAGGGGCACTAGGCTAGTCCCTGAAATATTCCCAGTAAATTAGAGTATTGAAATATTAAAGCCTTGTGCCTCCTTCCCAAATCCTGGGAAGCTTATACCCAGCTTAGGGAGTCATGTGCGATGCTCCCAAGAGGGTCAAAGAGCCCTCCTGCCATCTTCCCAACACCTGCCCAACTTTGGGAAGGAGGCATCAGGGCTCCAGCATTCTGTCCAAGGCCGGGAGCCTACTTCCTGTATTGTTATCTTCTCGTGATACTAAACTTGTGTATCTCCATGCTTGTTGGTTCAGAAACGAAACAGGGCTTCCCAACACTACGGTAGGGGTTTCGGCAAATTTATGCGACTCTAGACATGGATACGTGCATACGTAATTTTATTTGCCGCGGCTTACGACATGGAAAATATACCCAACTACAACTTGGCGAAAGTAGTCATAAACAATAAATAAAACATTTAAAAATACAGGCATGTCTATTAAATCACAAATTTAAAAAGAAATGGGGGTGGGGAGAGGCAAAAACAGTCTGAGGAAGACGGAGAATGCTCAAAGAGCTCCAGGAGAAAACAGACTGCTGAGCTTAGTGCTTAAAGTTTTCTTTTTTTCAAAGGACCATGGGCGGAAGGTGAATTCACCTGCTTGGAGGCAGGGTTCTACGAAGCTGAAAGGTGAATAAATAATCCCTACCTTTCAGGTAGAAGGAAAAGGAACATTTCCATTTGCTGCTTCCTTTAACCTTTTCACTGCCCACCCCTGCCAGTATATAGCAATAAAAACCCCTGCATTTGGACCTGCCAATTTTAGGGCTATATACTGGGATGGAGGTTTCTAGGGAATGGGAAAGCAAATAGGCACTTTCTTAAAATATCTTCCCTCCCATGTCTCAAACCCCCCCCCCCAAGAACACCCAAAAGTACAGTTGGTTGATTGCATTTACTGTATTTTTTGCTCTATAAGACTCACTTTTTCCCTCCTAAAAAGTAAGGGGAAATGTGTGTGCGTCTTATGGAGCGAATGCAGGCTGCGCATCTATCCCAGAAGCCAGAACAGCAGGAGGGATTGCTGCTTTCACTGCGCAGCGATCCCTCTTGCTGTTCTGGCTTCTGAGATTCAGATATTTTTTTTCTTGTTTTCTTCCTCCAAAAATTAGGTGCGTCTTGTGGTCTGGTGCGTCTTATAGAGCAAAAAATACGGTGTATCCCTTAGTTTTTCCCCACCCCTCACAACAACCCTGTAAAGTAGATCAGTCTGAGTACTATTGATTCTCCCAGTGAGCTTCATGGCTGAGTCACGGCTATAATGATGGAATTCTATTGTGGTTTTAAATGTAGATTTCATTGCATTACATTTATAGATTGTTAACTGCTCTGGTATCATTTAGATGAAGAGCAGTTCCATGCCAGTTGCAGCCCTTAACCGGAGCACTACAATGCACTGCAACATTTTGCTGTGGGCCCCTAGTTGTCTTCGCCTTTAGGCCAATTTCCAGCATTCAAACTCCCTTAAACGCACAGGCAATTTCCCTTGCCTGGTGTTCTGCAGGAGTGTGCAGAGAGCACAGAGATGAACTGTACTCTCCGGAGGTCCTTGCAGAGAAGGCCTCTGTCCACATGGACCCTGCTCATTAAGAACGAAGCACATTTTGCTAGCTTTTAGTAGAAGCTGCCATCGTTCTTTCCCTGTGACCAACAGCATCTCCAAAACCATTCCATTAATTTCTTTCGACAAAGTGACACTTCAAAGATGTCAGTATGCCCATGGATACGTTTTTCCAAATTACGTCCTTGCATAAAAATGAACGACCCCCATTGATTTCTAAAGGCATTTATCATGTCAACTATTATCTCTTGGTTGTTTCGCATAAATCGAACCCTTGATTAAAAACAAAAAAACCTTGCATAACTGAATGGCTTGTGGTCATATCATTTTATCATATGTACTATTGTGCTGTGATCTAAACCACTGAGCCTCTTGGGCTGGCCGATTGGAAGGTCGGCGGTTCAAATCCCCGCAATGGAGTGAGCTCCTGCTGCTCTGTCCCAGCTCCTGCCAACCTAGCAGTTCGAAAGCATGCCAGTGCCAGTAGATAAATAGGTACCACTGCAGCAGGAAGATAAACGGCGTTTCCGTGCGCTCTGGTTTCTGTTACAGTGTCCCGTTGCACAAGAAGTGGTTTAGTCCTGCTGGCCACATGACCTGGAAAGCTGTCTGCGGACAAATGCCGGCTCCCTCGGCCTGAAAGAGTGATGAGCGCCGCAGCCCCATAGTCGCCTTTGACTGGATGTAACCATCCAGGGATCCTTTAGCTTTTAGCTTTTACCTTATTATCATTATTGCAAACAGTAATCAGTTTTAGCAACTGAGATGTGCAACAAAATATTGCTATGTAGAGTGTTCAGATCACACTCAGTACTCCTTGGGCTGTTTGGGGTTTTCCCCCCTCTTAGGCAGTCGGCCAGCTTTAATCACAAAAATGAGATGCCTGCAGGGTTTTCCTGCTGCAGAAAGCTCGTGTGAGAGCGTCCCAGAGCCCATGAAGCTCTCTACCTTGCTTGGAGATGAGGACCAAGGCCTGCTTAGGTCCAGAAAGAACGAGATGATGGAGCAGGGGCAGTTCTGGGGTTGTCCTGGTTATATGCAATTTTATTTCACAATCCTTGGAACCAAAGTCCCCACGCAAGTTGCAAGTCACCTGTATCTCGGACATCTAAAGCAGTGTTAGAAAATGTTGCTAGGACACTCAACCGATGAGACAAGAAGATAGCAAAATACTAAAATACTCCTTAAGCTAAAATAAAAACATGTACCAATCCTAATAGCTAATTACTGGGCTTTACATTCAGTACTACAGATAAGGCAAAAAGCTCTTGCACTCTTTGTAAACCTTTCGTTCCTTCCTTCTTCCAGCATTGGATTGTAGACTTTCCAGTCGAGTGGATGCTAATGCTTCCTTGTGAGTTTAGCGGATCCATTGTATGGTGTGTGTTTTCTATTCCCAAGCAGGCAGCGTTCGAGGCAGAGGACGAGGTGCAGCAGGGAACAGACTCCCCGGCCCGAGAGGCTCGTACCTGGGGGGCTATTCTGCAGGCCGCGGCATATATAGCCGATACCATGAAGGGAAAGGGAAACAGCAAGAAAAAGGATACGAACTTGTGCCTAATTTGGAATTGTCTGCTGTCAACCCCGTGGCCATTAAACCCGGCACTGGTCAGTATGATTTATTGAGATGGGGAGCTAAATACGTTCTCCCTTTCAGGGTGCTTTTAGATATCAGCTTTCCCTGCAAACCTATACAGTAGCTGTCAGAGTGCTATCAGTGGCTCCCGCCTGGTTGCCCAGGGAAGTATAAATACGAGGAAAAGATTATTACAGTCCTTAAAAGGGAGAGGCTATAGAACCCAGCCTCGTGGATGATGGCGTCTTTGAGCTCTTTGCTCTCCTACAGGGGAGACGCAAGTTCTGCCAATTAAGGTTGGACATATTCCATGAGACTCTTAAACTCAGCATCGTGGGTTTGAACCCCGCGTTGGGCAGAAGAGTCCTGCCTTGCAAGGGTCGGACCCTGGTGGTCCCTTCCAACTCTACAATTCTGGGATTCCATGGTTCTAATTTCAGTTTCTCCCTGTTTCTCATTTTTTCCAATCTTAAATCCATTTCCACATCAGTCGGTGAAGTAAGCCCTCCTGGAAATTCATCAGGATTTATGTGCATTTCTCCCCCTAACATTCACATGTTCATATGCAATTTCCCCTAAATATACACATTTTTGCAGAGCAATTTCCCCCTAACAGAATGCGTTTTTTGTAAAAGATGCATTTGTTAATGCGCCCTTTACAACAGTGTTCCATTTTTGTACGCATTTCTTGGAGGGAGAACTTCACCGCGAAGTTTGGAAAAGAGCACATTTCAAAGGGTGGCTGTGTTTCAGTTCTTGTTTCAGAAAGGAGGTTTGACTTCAGATGTGAACTGAATTGAATTCCTCCCACGTCCCAAGTGCCAATTCTCTTTCATCCCTAGTGCCAATCCCTCCTCTCCTCCGCAGCCCCTGAAGATCAGCTTCTGAGATCTGGGGGACCCTCCAAACCAAAGTGAAGGGTGGTGTGAGGGGCTTCAGGAAGCAGAGTGAATGGGCGAAACCGGCCTCCCCTCCTCCTCCTCTCTTAGTGGAGGCATCTGCCAAAGCAAAAGCCCTTCTGCGTACACCAGAGCTTTTGCAAACTGCGTGTTGCGAAACTTTAGTGTGTCACCTGCAGTACGTTGGTGTGTCGTGCAAACGCTCCCCACGTTCCTCCCGAGGTTGGAAAGCAGTTTAGCCTCTGGTTTGCTAGTAAAACTGAATTACTGCATCACAAAATGATGCATGTCTAAAAAGTGCGTCACCAACATGAAAAGTTTGGAAAGCTCTGTGCACACAAAGTCATCAAACTGAACTGCATCCTAGTTCCGCCTAGGTCCAACATGTTGGAAAACACAAGTAATGTTGTGTCCTGCTCGTGTGAGCAAATATGGACATATCAGAGAGAGAACCTGCTTTCATGTGCATCTGTCAGGGACTGGGCAGAGGAGGAATGGTGGAGACCGCCTCCCCAGCCTGACCCTTCCAGAGAAGAAGAAGACAGTTCAGAAATACAACAGGGGTTTGAGAGAGGTCACAGCTCAGAGGCAGATGAGGGAGAAAGCTGGGAAATAATGGGAGAGGAAGAAGAAGTACCAGAGGAGGAACAGCTGACGGACACAGTGTCTTTAGAAAACATTCCAGACCCCCCTCCCAGAACCTGGCGGACATTGAAAGTAGGAGAGCAGAGAGCTCATGTGCTGGTCCCAGGGGCTAACCGAGAGGCAAGGTCCAAGTCCAGTCCGAGGTCAATGGTGCGGTATGGAGGCTGTCCATCAAAGCTGTAGCTGGGTCCAAGGCGGGGAGCCAGGTGGGGTCAGGAACTCTGGCAGAAGAGCAGGACAGGGTGCAGGCAAGAACAGGCTAGCAACAACATTGCTCCCATAACCTGGGACTGGGGCTGGCTGGCTTTTATCTGCCCCGAGGCATAGGGGGCCCCGGTCCACAGGTGACTCGCCTCTCCTGGCCTGGAAGCGAGCACTCCTCCTGCAGGAACTTAGTTCCCTCCGCCTCTCTGCCCTGAGCCTCTGCAGCTCAGGAGAGGCTGGAGGGTTATCAGACTCAGAGGCAACCTCCTCTTCCCCTGATGAGGCTGAGAGTGGAGCACCTGCAGGCAATGGGTCCTCCATCACCTCAGGAGCCAGAGCAGACTCAGCTGGTGCCTGCACCTGAGGATCTAGCACAGGTGAGGACCCTTCAGGCTAAAGCCCCAGCCCCGGCTCAGCTGGTTCTGGAGGCAGAGAATCCTGTGCAGGCTGGGATTCCTCAGGTTCAGCCTCTGAGTCCGAATCCCAGGCCATCACAGCTCAGAGGCAGAAGGCACAGGCCAGCCACCGTAGGGATAACTTATAATGGGAGAGGGAGATGGGTGGGTTTTCACTCAGAGCAATACCACTACTCCAAGAGGCTGCATTTCTAAGCCTCTCTCTGTGAATATTGAATAAAAGCATTGGTAAGAACTTTCCTTGTCATATCCATTCCTGGCAACCTACCATGGGGATTGGAACCTCTGACACCTGACAGCATCCGAGGAAAGGGATGCGTTCCATGACATTCCACAATGTGCTCTGGAACCCATACGTATCACGCTAGATTAAAAGCTACAACAACAAATGCCGAGTTAAGAGTGCCAGGGTTATAATTGTCTCAAGTGTAGACTGAAAATATCCCGTTCTGGTCTATTTCAGTGGCTATCCCAACTATTGGTACCCAGTATTCCGTGTTTCAAGCAGCGCCAACAGCAAAGATGATTGAAGATGGGAAAATCCACGCCGTTGAGCATATCATCAGCCCCATTGCTGTCCAGCAGGATCCTGCTAGTGCGGCGGCAGCTGCAGCCGCTGCCGTATTACCTTCAGTTTCAACCCCTCCTCCTTTTCAGGTAAATTTTCATCAAGGTGGTTCTATCCCTCCTTGTACATAGAAAGCCTGGCTTCTTGCCATGCTGCTGTTGAGAGAGTGTCCTTGTTGAGAAAACAAGACAACCTGTCTCCAAGTTCGTTCATTTGCGCTGCATTTGGGATCTGGCGGGAGCATATTGTTGTTATTTATCAAATTTGTACACCGCCCTTCATCCATAGCTCACAGCATAAAAATACAAGGGGAAAGCACAAAATACATAATAAAAATACAAACAGCACAAAAAAATAATCTCCCTGCCCTGTGTGTGCAGGATAGATGTGCCAAACCAACACATTTTCAGGGCCCAACCAAATACCTGGCATATCCAATTGTGTGAAGATAGATAATCTGAACATAAATTATTTCAAAGGTTTTTCGGGGGGGGGGTAGGCGGTGATTAGGGATGCCATGTGTCCTCTTTTCCCAAGACATGTCCTGTTTTTCAGGGGTAAAATTTCCGTCTGGGTGGATTAAATTTGTCAAAATGTCTCTGGTTATACTTTCTGTTTGAGACATAGACATAACTGGTGGTTGCTTTCCTCTTCTCTTTCTCCTCCCCCCCTCAGCAATATATCACAGCTTCTATAACCTACATATAGTAGGGGTATTTAAAATGAGAGTCATCATAGCGTCCTCTTTTTTTCTCTCTCTTCAAAATATGACAACCCTTGCAATGATTATCAGAACATGTCCCTATTTCTAAAGCATCCCTCACCGTGAAGTACGAAGTCCTCTTATAACATTCTCCAAATGTTATAAAATCTGAGGGTGTTTGAGAGACGCTGGTGTGGGGAAGGCAGAAAGTGACCAAGCTACAGACAGCAAATTCTCACTGTTCCAAGAAAAAGGATGCGGCCTGGTTTCTAAAATATGCTTTGGCATGCAGGCTATAGAGTGTGAGACTCTTCATCTCACGGTCGTGGGTTCGAGTTTCACATGGGGGTCGGACTTCATGACCCTTGCGGCTCCTTCCAACTCGACAGTTCTACGATTCTATATTGTAGCAGACTTTTTTCTTTCTTTTCTTGGGGGGAGAAAAAACCTATTTCGGGGATTGAGATTTCACTGTTGTTGTTTCCAGGGCCGGCCCTTAACTCCCGTGTACACGATGGCTCCCAACGTGCAGAGAATCCCAGCTGCGGGGATTTATGGCGCAAGTTACGTTCCCTTCGCTGCCCCAGCCACGGCGACGATAGCCACACTACAGAAGAATGCCGCTGCTGCAGCCGCTGCAGCCGCTTACGGCGGCTATGCCAGTTATATCCCTCAGGCATTCCCGGCTGCAACATTTCAGGTTCCGATCCACGATGTCTATCAAACCTATTGAAACAGCTGGCCATTTTTTTGGGGGGGGGGTAGAGGGTCTGGGGTGGGAGGGGTGGGATGGGATTGCATTGAAGGAACATTTTACTATTTATGAAGAAAGAACCTACTGCAGATGACTTACATTTGGATGCCAGAAAACTGCTGATGAAACCTGAAAGTGAAGTTCATATCAACGATATCATCGAGTTTGAAATCTTTTATACATATGAAGTTTTTACTAACTTTTTAGGCTGTTTTTAAAAAAATTAATATGCCTGTATTCCTACATTTCTAAAACGGCTCATTTTTTCCAATGCCCATTCTTCTATGCAGGTTTATTACAAAGCGGTAGGTTTTTAGCAATTATTTTCACCATATTTGTGGTATGAAGGTTATTTTTAGCACGTTCTGCACTCCAGAGATTTCTATTTTGTAGTGCCTTTAATAATATATCAACTAAATATTGAAAAAGCACATCTGAGCAGCTAGGGAAAAGTTTTTAAACAATATATTTTGAAGAATATATTCATATTTAAAGAATACATGCAATAGATTTTTTTTTTAAAGAAAGAAATTATATACAAACGTGTGTCTTATTTAAAAAGTTAAACTGGAAAGTGCAATTTGAAAGTGACTGAGACCTCTGCATTACGTCCTGGCATTTGTATGGTTTCTTTGTTATCTGGAGCCACAACGAAGCCCCTCTTTGTTGATATAAAGATGCTCCCATGAATTAGCTCGGTTAAACTACGCTTAATTTTGAGAATAACCTGCTCCATAGAGCCACCTTAGATATTTATCAGCATTCTTTAATATTTTCCAGGCTCCGAACATAAGCAAGAAGCAAGTCTATTATATTTCATGGAGGGAAAATATCCTTCCAATTTGCTCATTTACTACAGAAATAGTTGCCCTAGGATTTTTATTTTTAAGGGTTTATGGAACCCAACGGCATCGCTGCACATGTGAGTACAGTCATACCTCGGGTTACAGACGCTTCAGGTTGCGCGTTTTCGGGTTGCGCACCATGCCGAACCCGTAAGTACCGCAGAAGCGCCGAATCACGACCCACGCGTGTGCAGACGCAGCGCTGCGGGTTGCGAACGTGCCTCCCGCACGGATCACGTTCACAGCCCAAGCATCCACTGTAGTATGTAGATTGCTCCAAACTCCATCTGCAAGCTTCTGTCTTTGGTGTTGCTCCTTCATGAGAAAGTAGGCCTACAGATGTCATGAAACCAAGTTCTCTTGTGGGAGGAACTATTTCTCAGTGACTCTGCATGCAGGAAATCTCATGTTCAGTCCCTGGCATCTACACAAAATGGATTGGGTAGCAAGTGACCTCTGTGCCAGTCCATAGTAGTCAATACCAGCCTAACCCAGTGCAGTTCCTGTCTTGTAGCAACTGTACCTTGGTTTCATTTATACAAGCACAGAAACCATGGTTAAACTTTGTGGTAGAGTTAGTTAGCTCCCGAGAATCAGTGGTGTTGTATCCCAAGGTGCAAATGGCAGCATTTATTCTAGATACTCATATTCTGTGCCTTTAGCTTCCATTTTTAAATAGAGGTTAAGCCAAAACTTGAATCTAAGTGAGAATGAACTAAAGGGCTGTTTGTCTCACGATGTGAATACCGGCCATTTTGCCCCTGAGTCAAGAGGTTTTTAATATCTTTCTCAGATTTTTTTAGACATGGTATTTGACTCGTGACCAGTGGCCTTCGATGCCCGCTTCCATAGTTTCAGCTTTGGATAACCTTTTGTTTGTCCTAAATCCTTACCAATTTGACCTCTTTGGGTTGGCTGAATTTTGGCCTCGCACAAGGCGCCGCTGGAATTTGAAATTGTCCCGCTGCCATGCGCTAAGGTGTCAGTGTAAGAGGGTAAAAGTAACTGTCTGTGGTGGTATTTCTGCATCAAACCCAAACAAGTCAGGATTGCCTGATAAGGAAATATCAATTCTGCACCAACGCAAGTCAACCTTTGTGACCTGCACATAAAATCTAGTCCTTAGGAAAATCGAGGAGCTATGTAGGGCATTGAAATGCCCCAGGTTTCATAGGCTGCTGGGAGTCTTATTCAACCACCTCTATGACACTAGACTTTCAATCTTCACACTTTTCATGTGAACTAAAGTCCCTTTTTTTTTTTAAGGACAAAAATAAAAGGCTCCAGAACTCAGCTTCCTAAGTATATCTTAGCTACTTTCAGTTGGTGATCCTTTTTGTGTATTTGCACGGCATCATGACATTTGCACGCAGCCTTCATTCTAAGTTTTATAACAGTTTGAGAGGAAAATCTGCAGATACATGGGAGCTCGCTACATATACCGGTTACTCACATGTGCAGAGATTCAAAGGGGATAGTAGATTCCCTTTCCTACTTTGGGTTTTCTCATGTCCTGCTTTAGCGCTTTATACATGAATAACTTCTTTGAACTCCATAATGTGAACAAGCCCTGCATCCCAGTATAGTCTCAAACCTTCGTTCTTTTTCTAGTGTATGCTGTAGAGACAAAAGAATGTACGCTAATGTAGTCCAGGACGAAACATGCTCTTGTTCACCATAAATATTGCTTATTAAAGTAGCTGCATCAGTTTCTTGCTGAGGTTAAGGGGCATAGTAATACAGTACTTAAGTGGGTTTTGTTCTCTCGCCTTATTCTCCTTTCCACACGTGGTTCCCATTACCATTTAATGGGACTTGTGCATGTACACCGGAGAAGGAAGTTATATGGACCACTTTTTGTTTTTTTAAGCCTGTAAATATATTTGCAGTACATTGTAAGAGTCGTTTTATTTCTCTGTATTACACGGCAATGCGGTGTGCCACAAAGTCAATGTTTTATTTCAACGGTTATTAAAGAAGAAGAAGGTTAAGTAATATTATTGCAGTGTTTTGTGGCCTGTTTCAAGGCTTTTTTGTAGTAGTGCAGTGAATGTAAAATACAGTAAACTTTGCAATGAGTGGTTCGGTCGGCTTTAGGCGACGTGGCCCAGTACCACTTGAAACTTAGGTGCCTTAGATGAATCTACAGATGATGAGTGGATTCCAAGGGGTCATGAAGGGAGCCCTTTCGCACTCAACCACACTGCTGCTTCAGCAGACCCTCCCACCGATTTGCCCCAAAGAGATGCTCCCACAAATCTGGGAACCTGCTGGAGCTAGAAGCAACCACAGAAACCCTAGTGATTTGAGTAGGATTCCTTGGGCCACATAGACAGCATCCTGGGATCCCAACCTGGGCATTCAGTATGTACAGATGTCTAAGGCAACAGCTGAATTCAGAAGCTTAGGTAATGCTTAGAATTAAAGAAGAGCTTTGTGTGCAGTTTTCAGAATCCAGACAGCCCTCCTCGGCAAACTTTTCCAGAATTTAAATCCTAAATGAAAATATTCTCAAGGGTATCCTTCCCGCACCCCCATGTTACAGGAGAACTGGAAAGCATTTTGCTATAGAAATAAGTAGCAGTCATTATTTTTATTTTTAAAAATGGGTGGTCCTTTAAAATATCCACAACTGGAGAGCTTACTGGTACACCCTACCTCAAAGGGCCACCGTTAACTACTGATTTTATTTATTTTTTCACAAGCTGCATTGCTTTCACGTGGCTATCCAAAAAGCCCTGCCACACTTGAAATACATTTGCTTCAAAGCCTGGATCCTAAACATAGTCCAGTTGCCCCATGCGCGTTAAATTTGAATTTGAACGGTACTACCACAATTTAGGCAGGGTGGCGCTGTGGGTTAAACCACAGAGCCTAGGACTTGCCGATCAGAAGGTTGGCGGTTTGAATCCCTGCAATGGGTGAGCTCCCATTGCTCAGTCCCTGCTCCTGTCAACCTAGCAGTTCGAAAGCACGTCAAAGTACAAGTAGATAAATAGGTACTGCTCCAGCAGGAAGGTAAACGGCGTTTCCATGCGATGCTCTGGTTTGCCGGAAGCGTTTTGGTCATGCTGGCCACATGACCTGGAAGCTGTACGCCAGCTCCCTCGGCCAGTAAAGCGAGATGAGCGCCGCAACCCCAGAGTCGGCCACGACTGGACCTAATGGTCAGGGGTCCCTTTACCTTTACCACAATTCAGGCAGGGTGGCAAATAATTGAACAAAAAGGTAGCCTAGCCCTCATTAAAAAACCTAGCATTTTGGATGGCCAGCTGGGCTAGAATTCCCCCCCCCCAACACCTAGTGTTTGGGGAGGTTTTGCGTTTCGCTGTGTTCTTTTTGAATCGGGGAGCATTCCAGCCGTACGAATCGTTACGGTACGATGTGAAGTAGGGCAGTCAAGACACAGGTTTTTCCACTACAACAGAAACTTAAGAATGTAAGACAAGTCCCGCTAGCTCACACCAAAGCCCCATTTAGTCCACCATCCTTTTTTCACAGTGGCCAACCAGATGGGGAACCATAAGTAGGACCTTAGGCCTCTTTCATGGGCTGCAGCTATGGAGAAACTCAACACAAGTTGGGGAAACCTTCGAGTGCAACTTTCTGAATCAATCTTTATTTAACCCATGTTAGTCAAGCAGACTTTTTCTCCGCCATCTCCCATTCCGCTATCTTCTGTGAAATCTCTCGTAAAACTGGTTGCCGGTGGCAAAAGCTACAGGTTACCATGCTCAAACGAAGCACCACTATCTCCTTAATTTTTCATCTCCCACGTGGGAGACCCAATCTTTGAAACCTTTATTCAAACAGGACTGCTTGTGCCAACCTACCCGAGTACTTGTAACAGAAGGGAAGCTCTTACTGTATTTTACATATACGCGTATAGCATCTGCAAGAAAGGCAGATCCCCAACAAATAACCGAGTGAATGTTCTTTGAAATGCCCATAGGAACTCCGGACAGGTGCAAAGGTGCTGGCTTGCAACACCAGGTAGCAGGGATCATCGAGGCCATTTAAGCGTCAATGAACCACCACTCAGTGGTCTGACTACACAAACCATTTCATTTATACACTACTGAGGCAAGTTTATGACTTGAAATGTGAACTTTTCTTAGGTTAAGAACAAACTATAGAAAAAGATATTATTATGTATGTTTGCCT